GTAAAATAATATAAGACATAGGAGAGTGGTAATAATCATTTACTGCGAATATATACGAAAAAGATGGATAGTAATGAGAGAGAAGTACAACAGGATACATTACAGCTTTGGATTATCTGTCTGGATGAAGGGCGATGTTCACATGTCCGCTACACAACCTGTGGAGAATACGGCGCTGTGTACAACTGCAAGTAAGGGATGCAGAATGCGCCGACATAGTGCGGGATTTGCGCGAAGGAGGCCGGCAGTCGAATGCAGGGGGCACCGGCTGCTTTCACCGACACGGAGCTACACCATCTTCATCCTAGATCTGCGCGCGAAAATTCTCACCTCGTTCAAACAAACCCATTTAGTTTCCTGGAATTTCACACGTCTATCATTCATTTCCGTGAAAAGTGTCTTCAATCCACTTTAACAGTTCTGCCAAATCTGTGGTATTTTACAGACAGTTATCTGTCTGTGCACATAACGTAATTGCATTCAAAACTAAACGTAATCTCATGAACACTTTCAGTGGATGGGAAGAGGGAAATTAGCCTTAAAAGGGCTGAGCAGCAGGGTCTTTAAGCAGCGGCTAATGTATACGCACAATGCATTTCCATTAAATCATTTTATTGAGTTATTAATCCAACATGATGAATGTCTCATTATATTTAGGAAGCAGGTCATAAATGACCCCCTTTTGCGGCATGATAATATCATGATATCTGCATTACAAAAATGCGTCGTATTATTATGTTGAAAATGATAGAAGCGCGACCTCTCTGTCTGGACTGTGGTTCTTCTTATTTCGGTTTCACCCGGCTCACAGAACGTTTGCATGTGTCAGCGAGTGCGAATAATTTTGAACGAGTTAATATTGAAGGTCCAAGAAAGATTTAACTATGACAACTCTCGTCATAACCGTCATCTTTTGTAGTCCCGTTCGAGCTCCTGCAATCCACACAGTTTTTCTGTCCACTGCACCCGATTTACGTTACAAATAGAATTGTACAAGGCTCATGCCCATATTCCTCAGTAAATTGAACTGAACTGATTGACTCATTATCAACATAGACTTAATCTTGGTTTTTAACTCTTCCGTAGAAAAATCTCAACAACAGACTAGGTACCCCATCCCTAATTGTTCACACATAGTGCATTCAGGATTGCTGCTAGTCACTTATCATTCTTCTTGTCTTCACAGGACAATGCGGCAAGCCGGGAGGCACTCAAAACCCTTCACTTCAAACTATATAAATCACTCACGATTCTACGGATCCTCCTCCTCACCTGTACTGGTCTCGCCCTCGTCTTTCTCCTTGGTCTTCTCGTGTATTCCCTCATTCTGTTTGCAAAAATGGACTTTTCTGTGTCCACAGCAGTGTCCCGCGTAAAGACTTATATGCGTAAACAAGAGGACACTCCTGTAAAGTCTCCTATGGAAGTTATTCTTTAAAGCTTGGTGAGTCTACGGAGCATCTGGAGGAACGTTAATATTAATTTATAAACAATCACCGCATTTGACTCTATCTTTATATTACGCCACCCTCTTAGCAACTGTGGTTGTCGACGGCCACCACAGCCGTCTCTATCATCCTCATTCCTACTCAATAGGAACTATCGACACAAAAGTAGTCAGCTATTTACTCACTCCCGACAATGCTAGCAGTCGTTTACTTGGACATATATGGTTCAGTATAGTTAGGGTAGTAGTTAATGCCTTTGAAGACCATATTTAAAACTGTATGCAAATATAGTCAACATAAAATACATAAAATAAATATTTTACTATAAAATAGTGAGTAGTATACACACATGTACTCATTTTAGCAGAGACATTTATGTATAGTCGTCCTGAGGATTGTACATAACAATTGTCGAATAGCAGACAGATATTTCATCTGTATGTGTAAGCGAAGCGTTGGTACGTTCTCAAAGTGCTTTCCTGAGCATATGAATTGTATCTGTTAAGTAAATTTACATCGAGACACCTTGTCTTTCTACCACGCTTGCTCTTCAAATGTAACCCACTCGATAGCTTACCTTGTGTGTACACCTAGCTAGTAGTTATCAAAAAAATCAGTTTTAGACAAATTGTGGTAATTCCCAAACCACTACGTTACCAGAGCTACCACGTTTACCGAGAACAAATCCAATCTAAATAAAAACGTTTGCCTTGGATGAAGTGAATGTGAGGAAAAATAATGGGATATTGAATCATGCATGTTATTTGTGTTCATCTACCGGCTTCTTGGCCGAAATAACGATGCAAAAATTAGAAACTATGGCCCTACCACGAGTTAACCCCAAGTTGTGGGTGCGCTATGTCGATGACACGTTTTTCATGGTTAAAAAGGACCAATTGGAAACACTACACAACATTATA